CTAGGTTTTTTTTTGCCATTAATTAGTACTTCTTCTGTCCCATTAAGATGATTCATCTTTTCTTTTTAGTTTATTTTAAAATATAGTCCACTTTCTTTTTTTGCATTATAATTAATTTTTAAATTGTCTATTATGACCTTATTAAACTTTACTCCCTCTGTTCTCTTCATATAGAGATAATTGAATTTGCACAAGGATTAAGATGGTAGTTAAACTAACTATTTTCTCAAATTATGTCTATTTTACCCCTAAATAGTATTAAACGGGCTCTTTATTTAATAGATAGACAACTCATACGAGTAGACTTCTAAAGCCGCATTAATTACAGGATTTCAGGCAAATTGGAGGGGATTTAAGCTGAAATTGGAGAAATTTCTGACATAATGCAGTTAATTTCTCCATTTTCAAACTTTGCCAAATTAAAATCCCATGTTGAAAATTTTGAATTTCTTTCATTTTCTAAAGTCTTGAGCAATTTCGGTTATATGCGCGCAAATATGACAAAAATGTAGAGCCAAAATTTTTGATACTCTTACTATCTCCTCAACTTCTACAATATTCTTATATGAATTGTGATCAGAACGTGAACATGTAATTGCATTCATAAGCTTTTCAAACTAAGGTCAATAGAAAGAGGAGAACAATATTTCTTGCATCATGAATAATTCATTTTCATTTGATCTCAATGAAGCTCCAATAAATTTGCTCGCACATTCTCATGATATGCACACAACTTTCCATTTGCCATACTTGAACTCCTTACCTGAAGCAGAAGAAAGCATGATGATGGTTCCTAAAATGAATCATACTGAAAATGTTGTTGTAGGCAATGAGAAAAGAAGAAACAAAAAAAAAAAAAAATATATACCAGATCATGTAAAGAATTTTGTAAATGTCATGCTTTTTTATGAGTTGCAACAAAAATCCCATTAAAACGTCGCATGACAATTCGTTCTCTGGCGCATGAAAAACGAACAGGTTTTAGGAGGTTTGAGATGACGGTTTGTAAGTAATGCCTCTCCATAATAGGGTACACTAATCTATTTTTCACTTAAGGGAATCAAATAAGGTACAACTAATTCACAATTATCACCGATTTTTTTTTTCACTGTGTACAATTTATTCAAAATATGAACATGAAATTTCCATCCGTGTTAGTTATATTATAAAATTATATTAAATAATTCGGAGTTAACAAAATTCATATACATATTTGCAAGGTGTAATATCGATATAAAAGGATTTTCAAAATTATACTACAACCATCCAATTTGGTGTCCATATTTTGAATAATTTCACAAATTCTTGCTCATGTTTGTGTTCACATCCAAAAGTCGAGCACACTGTTAAAAAAACACATTGAAAATTTAAATGCATTAAATGTCTTTTCTTTTTTCTCTGCTACTTTCCTCGTTCAGAGCACAATCTGCAAGCGGATTACAGAGCTAAAATGAGGGCATCTTGGTCTTTTTCATCTGACATCCTTTACAAAGTTTCCATTTTGAGTAAAGTTCTCTATATAAAGAAAACAGATGAAGTATCTTAGTTTTAATAACCTTCATTAATTTTCACTTATTATGCTAATATAATGATTGTTCATGTGTTATTTAAAATAGACATAATAGGAAAGTTATATGAATAAAATTGTCATTTAACTATAATAATTGTTCTGTCCTCTGTTTCAAAAAGATAATCCATATTTCTTTTTTGGTATATCTCAAAATATAGTCCACTTTGCTCTTTTATATTGTCGTTAATCCTTAAATTGTCTACTACACCCTTATTAAATTTTACTATCTTATGTTCAATAACCCGCATTAATTCTTACTAATTATTCTAATATAATAATTGCTTATGTGTTATTTAAGATTAGCACAATAGGAAAATTATATAAATAAAATTATCCTTTAATCATAATAATTGCTATTTTTTAATCTGTGTGAAAATAAAAAGTAGAATATTTCTTTTGGTACCGAGGGATTACCGTTTTCAAGAATTTATAGTAACCTTTATTATTTTGATTTCAAATTTGGCCAGGATTATGGTTGCACTATTGACTGCATTTGAGAGAGCAGGGGACAACTTAATTTCATGGCATGTAATTAACTTTAAACTTATAACTAGATATATGTTATTTTTTAGTATTATTTTTATGTTGTTTTATTATATACATTCATGGTATTTTTCTTTCTTCGTTGTGTTAAAAAGAGTGGCGGAATTAGAAAAAATAATTAGAGGGAGTGAAAATTTTTTTTCTATATTTAGAAGGGGCAATACCCAAAAAAAATCACTATTTTATAGATAAAATGTAAAATTTTATATATTTTACAAGGTAAATTTCAAAAAAAAAATAACTAAATAAAATTGGGGGGCGGCTGGTTAAAAGGTTACCGATGAAGAAAAATTGACATTTTTTTATATATCTTTGGCATCCAAGAACAAGAGTTTGTATTGTAGATCCTAAATTTATGAAATCGCATCCTCCATTTTCTCCTTTCTTATGTAGCAGGAAGCAAATGGTACAGAATCTCATATTTGCGATACAAGTGGACATGTTACAAAAGGAAGGCAATCAAAAGAACCTAACTTACATTCTCAGAAGCCAAATGAATCAGCTTTGTCTATAGATAATGGGAATTCAGAATTCTCTCGACAAAAAATAGTTCCTAGTATAGAGTTTTGCCAGCTGAAACGCACTAAATGAGGCTATTTCATAGGGCATCAAACCATTAGAGAAATGAAATTCATGTGATTTATTTTTCTCAAGTCAAATTTGATTATGTGCAAAAACTAATATTTCTTGTAACACAAATTAATATAACATTCTGTTAGATGTCAAGTTCGAGTAAAATCTCATACTGGAAAAAGAATGGATTAAATGAAATATTCAAATGGGAAGAATGATGAATCAACCATCAACAAATTTATGTTGCATTGATGACCCACAATGAAATTTAATGTAACGTGATCAGAGGAATTGAATTTCTTACATTTTTATTTATTATCTATTAAATGTAATCTTTTTTTTTTTTTTTTGGATGAAATCAACCCACACAAATTTTATGTTTTGCATTGATGACCCACAATGAAATTTAAATGTAACGTGATCAGAGAATTGAAATTTCATTACATTTTTATTTATTATCTATTATTAATGTAATCTTTTAATCTTTTTTTTTTTTTTTGAAAATGTAATCTATTAATAATAATACTATCAAGAATTAAAAATAATCATGCCAGAAATAAAATTTTCCTATTAGTAGTTAATAAAGTTTGCAGATCGTATAATGAAGTAAAAGAATTCATATTCTTTTAAATAATGAAATTAAAATTAAAATATAATATTAGATTTTTCCGCTTGAGTTAATCTCAATAAAAGATATAAATTTTCGTAGCGGCAACTAGTCCATTAATTAATTTGGACATTAAAATAATAACTCTTACGGAACTTCTATAACTGAAAATTTGTAACATATGATGAACACATATGAGTTTCCACTATTATGCGTCAATATTATCAATAGAAGAATACATCGTACTACCAGGCTTTATAGATCGAAGATCTACACTTACAAATCAAGATTTAAAGTGTCCAACCAAATAAAGTCTAATATTATAATTTTATTCAGTAATAAACCGTCGCAAAGAAGGGACTACCCTCATAGGGACAAAAAAAAAAAAAATCCAAATATGGAGATAAACCAACAATAACAAAAACAAAAAAAAATAGATATATTATATGAAAAGCATATTTGAGTTTATTAAAGTAAAAGAAAATTAAAAGTTAAAGAATGTGAAGCGAAAGAGAGGGTAAAAAATAGAAAATAGGTGGTAGGTTTACCGCTGATAGACTCAAAATAAATCGAAGGTTATATCACTAAATGTAAGCTTATTGTCTTAAGATTTTGAATTAAAATATGATATAAGCCTATATAAGATTTCACAGGGTTGTATGAATCTACTGCATTATCACTTTTTTTTTTTTTCGTCACTAAAAATGTAAGCTTATTGTCCTTAAGATTTTGAATTAAAATAGAATAAGCCTATATTAGATTTCACAGAGTTGTAATGTGCAATCTTACTGCATTATTCGAACTTTTTTTTGTTTTCCATTTCAATGCGTTAATTAAGAGAAGATCTACACTTACAAATCAAGATTTAAAGTGTCCAACCAAATAAAGTCTAATATTATAATTTTATTCAGTAATAAACCGTCGCAAAGAAGGGACTACCCTCATAGGGACAAAAAAAAAAAAAATCCAAATATGGAGATAAACCAACAATAACAAAAACAAAAAAAAATAGATATATTATATGAAAAGCATATTTGAGTTTATTAAAGTAAAAGAAAATTAAAAGTTAAAGAATGTGAAGCGAAAGAGAGGGTAAAAAATAGAAAATAGGTGGTAGGTTTACCGCTGATAGACTCAAAATAAATCGAAGGTTATATCACTAAATGTAAGCTTATTGTCTTAAGATTTTGAATTAAAATATGATATAAGCCTATATAAGATTTCACAGGGTTGTATGAATCTACTGCATTATCACTTTTTTTTTTTTCTTAATGCCGTTAATTAAGATTTTCAATTTATAAAGGGATGTACAGTTCGTTATCAAATTAATTTTGGAGTTAATTAGAGTGGTAAATGCCCTCAATTTTTATATAGGTGATAAAAAAAAGTTTGATCTTCAGAAAATAAAATTGTTGAAAGAGCTAAAGATCTTTATATTCTACGCGATTACACCTTCTAGTTCTAAAAAAAAAAAAAAGGAAAAAAGAAGAAAAAAGAAAAACACATTATGTTAACCTTTAATCGATTAGGTGATTGATTTCACTAAACGCTAGGAAGAAGCACGTATTGGGCCGATGATATTTTGGGTTTCTTTTGTTGTGGGCTGGCCTACTAGTTTCGGGCTTTAGTTAAAAAATTGGTGAAATAGGCCCATTGCGATCAAAACCTCTGATTTCTTGAACATTATGGCCGCCGCGAATTGTCACTATTCGCTACTTTGATCTTTGCCGTTTTAAGTTTCATCCTTTTCGTCTAAAACCCTACCTTATGTTTTAGTTTCATCTTCTTCTTCTTCTTCGTCTAAAACCCTAGCCATAGAAGTTACACTCCAGGAGTTTCTACTTCGACAATTGTGTCTCGATTTCGATTCCTATCATTTTCAGGAGAATAGTACAGCACAATAGAATCAAAGATGGGGAAGATAAGTTATAAGAGATTAAAAGGGAGCCAAAACCTCCGCCAGAGACTGCTATTAGCTACTCTCTCCGCCACTCCTGTTCTCATTGAGGACATTCGGGCAGAAGACACGCTGCCAGGCCTCCGTCCTTACGAGGTCTCCTTCCTCCGCCTCCTCGAGAGGATCTCCGATGACTGTGTTATTGAAATCAATGAAACCGGTAATTGTTCACCTTCTCATATGTATTATCTGTGTAGAAGTTAATTCTGCATTTGTCAGCCTATTCGGTTTGAAATTGAAAAAAAATTCACATATTACAGAAATGTCTAATTCCAAATATGATAGTATTTCGTAGGAGTGTCTAGTTACTGAAGGTTTTTTTCTGTCATCTGCTGATTTTTTTTTTTTTTTTAAATGGGTCTCCCTTGAGATATAGGTCATTTGAACAACATCTGAATGTCTTCTTCTGGTCTTCTTTGCTTTAATTGTTTACATCTTAACTTCGAATTTCTTGCTTTGTGTTGTTGAAATTCTGTGGAAGACTCTTAAGAAACTCTAACCCTATTTTATGTGGCATCTCTCTTCCTTTAAAGCTTGTTTCTTGTTGCATCAACGTTTTGTTTTCTGGTCATCAGTGCATGTATGGGCTGATTCTTGTTTTAATTTAAGTTTTCTGGGTTTACCTTGCAGTTTCTCCATATTTGTTTGGGTTGTTGCTGAGTTCTATTTTCTGCTGATGAGATATATATATATAAAATATAAAATTGACTTCTGGAGTCCCATTTTCTTTTTTAGGACTCAAACTTTGTGTCATTTGGTATTGCAACAAATAGTAATGACAGCTTTGCTTTCTTTTTTTCTTTGTTTTACTTGGGTTATATTGTTTGTCAACGTGAACAACTTCTTGTGGCTCCTTACACTGTTGGTTTTCCTTGTTTTGGTTTCATTGAAATATATGTTGCAGGAACAAAATTTAAATACAAGCCTGGGATTGTGATGGGTGGGAAACATCTTGTGCATGATTGTGGCCTAAGTCGATCAATTGGCTATTTCCTTGAGCCACTAATTGTTCTTGGGCTATTTTCCAAGAAATCACTTGTGATAAGGCTCAAAGGTACGCGGCATGTGCTTAGGATTAATTTTAATTGCATATTCAGCGGTGTGCTCTGTGTAATTTAACTTGGGTTTAATCACCCAAGCTTTAGGCTCCATTTATATCTGGAAAATAACTTACTCTTATGTCTTTATAATATTGAAAATTAGTTAAAAAATAAAAACATTAATTTATAAGACTATAACAATGTTTAGAATCATAAAGACTTCGTTTTTTAAAAAAATTTATTGTGAAATATGAGAAAAAAATATAAATAATAAATTGTGTTTTTATTTGATCATGTGGTGCACTTGTTGAACTGGGCAATCTTTATTTGTTTGATGAAGCTTAACCTGATACTTGGTTTTGGAGACAAGAACGCAACAAAAGCTAGAAGCCTAATCCCTCAGATCATAGCTACTGATGGCTTGTTTGGTTTAGCAGTTATAGACAGTTGGTTGTTAGAGGCCAGCGATTAGCTAGTTGAATTGATTGTAAGATGTTTTGGTAATTAATACTACTTTTTAAGAGAAGTTTACCAAACATTTAAGTTTAGGGTTTGAGGTCTCAACCATTAGAGGCTAGCGCCCACCCTCACTCCACCCCACAAGAAAAAAAAGAAACTGCTTAACTAAATGGAGCTTTATCGTCACATTACCTTGACACTTAGCACAAGCTTGGGCAGAAATATAGATGTACTTTACTTTTCCAGACAAAGAACTTGCACTTGAAATGTAACTGTTTCTCCAGCCCCCATTTTTACACATTTAAAAGTTCCTCACTTGGTCTTCTATTAGAAGTTTCATAATTGGAATGTTCAGACGTCATTTTACCTTCCAAGAGTTGTTAATCTTGATGCATCAATTTATGTGGATTGTTAGAGAAACTACTAATACAGAGATCTGGTCATGTGAATCAACTTCTTCCCTTTTTGTCAAGTATCCAAAATGAATTATTCTGGATGTTGATTTCCAGTCCAAATTATATATTAACATTATTCATAAATGTAAACAATTTGAAATATTAATTTTGCATAAATGCTGTTAGATTACCAATCATGTTACTTAGTTCAGAATTATTTCAAATGTAAATGGAGGTGCAATCTAGCATGTAGATCTTTGAGGCCTATTTTGTGGAAGGTGGAGGATTATCAGTTTTGGGAGTTCTCCCCAGGTTATTTAGATGTTCACAGGAAAAAGCCATTTACACTTTTTATGCTTCATAACAAACAGTAATGCTAACTACAAACACATGGATGGAATGTTTGGAGTGATGTGATGACTTAGAAAGCTTTAGTAATGGTCAAAGGATACTGATTTTACCGAAGTCAACCTTCAAAACTTGGCATAACTCGTAAATGACAGTACCAAGAGTTTTTTTTTTTTTAAAGTTGTATATCTATAGCTAATGAAGATGATGTGATGATAGTGACACCGATTCTATTGTATTCAGGAATTACAAATGATTCTAAAGACCCATGTGTTGACACTTTTCGATCTACTACCCTACCAACGTTGAAGAGATTTGGCGTTCCTTCAGAAGGATTGGAGCTGAAAATAGAGAGTCGTGGAGTTCCACCTCATGGAGGTGGAGAAGTACTTTTATCTGTTCCTCTTGTTGAAAGTCTAACGGTGATATTTTGAATCCAATGGTGGTTCATCATCTTGCATTTTACTTTCTTTTTTCTTATATGTTCTGCTGTACAGGCAGTCACCTGGATTGATGAGGGATTGGTTAAGAGGATTAGAGGGGTCACTTTCTCAGCTAAGGTCTCATCTCAGTTTGATACTAATATGTTACATGCTGCTCGTGGAATCCTTAATCCTTTGCTTCGTGATGTTCATATATTCACCGATCATAGAGCTAAGGGTCCACAGGCTGGAAAGTATGCTTTCTGTTAGTAAATTTTTCCTTATCATTTTTAAAATTTTTTAATATAAAAATGTATAATGTTTTATCATGCTAAGAATTTATTTACATAGATTATGATGTCATGGCAGTTCACCTGGTTATGGAATTTCATTGGTTGCCGAAACAACTACTGGTTGCTTCATATCTGCTGACACAGCAGTTTATCATGCTCGAGGAGATGATATAGCTGAAATGGAAGATAAGGACAAAGAGTTGATGCCCGCAGCGGATGTTGGTGAGCAAGTTGCTTCTCTTCTTCTCGGAGAGATTGAGCAAGGTGGAGTTGTAGATTCCACACACCAGGTCTGCTATTTCTTTTTTTTTTTCCTTTCTGTTATTTTTGTCTGCTCTAGTGTGCTTGGTAAACTTTGTTGAGTGAAGTTCCTTTTTCTGCTCAACCCTGATTACTTGCTAACACAAATTAGATTCTATGATCACCATCTTTTATATATGGACTAATCTGGAAGCCAAATACTGCTCTCTCTCTCTCTCTCTCTCTCTCTCTCTTCAGATTTTTGAATAAAACTAATGTTAAAGTTGTAGGAGGGAAATGCATGAACGTTGGTTTTGAGAAATCAGAAATGGTAGGCAGAAAACTCAATTCACAGAGCACACCTCTTAAAGACAAGTTTTATAAAATTAACCTCTCTGTTGAGCAGATATCATTGATTATTTTAACACTTGTACATACGTTAGAGTTTACTTGACAAACCGTGGTAATCCATAGTTTTATGTCAAAACTAGACCATACTTGGACTGCTTTTACACCCAACCTAAGCCATACCTTGAGCTAAACCCACTAAACTGCATATTCTGCAAGTTCTTCGCTCATAACAAAATACAAGAAAATCAGATTACATTAGCAATGCACTTAGACTTCCAAATGGCACCCCTGTCACTCCAACATAAAGAAAAGTTGCGAACTGATTCATATTGCTGATGAGAAAAGAATGATAAGCGAAATGCTTTATTGATCATGAATTTCTTATAGTGCAGTGTGTCAAGTTCCATTATACCATCTTGTAATAATTGCTTTTTTTTATTTGGTGTATAGGGTTTATTATTTCTTCTTTGTGCATTATGTCCGGAAGATGTGTCACAGATACGTGTGGGAAAGCTATCACCATATGGGATAGAAACTCTGAGAAATATCAGATATTTTCTCGGGGTTAAGTTTGTTATTAAGCCAGATCCACCATCAAAGACAGTGATACTCAAATGTTTGGGATGTGGGTTGAAGAACCTATCTCGAAAGGTTTCATAGAGACTATTAGCAGCCACATATATGAGATGGTGATGCGCTTTCCATCCTTTTTACTTTCTTGCAAATGGCTTAACGTGGAAGATTTATGAAAGTTACAGCTTCATGCTCAGTCAATTTGGTTGTCCCATCGGCTTTATCACGTGGGAAAAAGCTCTTCCGTTTTTCATTTAATGGTAAATAGATAATCCAATCTTTAGTAGCTAACCTGAGACTGTCTCAAATAAATCAACTTTCAAGCTTATTATTATTATTATTATTATTATTATTTTATGAATTTAATTAGAATTTTCATGTAGTAATCGAGTAATGAAACTTGTGAATTATTACATGGGAAGTACCATTAATAATAAAATTCTGTAAACCGAAGTCAGAAAACTTGTTCTGAAAGAAGAAAGTACAAAGTGTCTCTTCAAAGCCCTCATGTTCCGGTCGCTATTTCTAACCACTCATCTTAAGGCCTCAAATCCTCCACGGCTGATTGGTTTATATGTATCTATTTTTCTAACTTTCACTTTGAATTTATATGGATATTTATTAATTATATTTGAGATAATAATATAGTTAGTATCTAAAATTAAAATTTTCTAATAATTTTTATTTTAATATATACTTCAATTTTATTTTTTTATCCATAAGTGTTTGAATAAATAATATATTTTCAATTAAGCAATTTGGCCTTTTTTATTAAAAAAATATGATAAATAATTTTATTCAATATATGACACCTACTCATTTTATTTCTATTTCTTAAATTTTTTATTATTTATTACCTTATATTTTCTTTAAGAAACTTTAAAAAAATTCCTTACAATTTTATTTTTATTTCAAAGCAAAATCAACAGAAATGAGTGGAGAAAGATGATAATCTAGAGAAATAAATGAGGTGATGAAATAGTTTATTTAAAAATTTTGATAAGAAATTTCGGTTAAATGCATCTAATTTTAGAACATTTATCAATTTAGACATTTGATTAGGAAAAACAAAAATTGAGACATTAAAATCAACAATAAATAAAATTGAACTTTGAATTTTATTTGCAATTAAAAAAGAGTATTGATTTTTTTTTTATTTGCAATTAAAAAAGAGTATTGATTTTTTTTTTACATATAAAAAAAATAATATCTTAATAGGGCCATAATTTAGACAAAGATGCCATGAGGTCTACAAAGACAGAGACTGCTCCTTTCTTTCATCACAATTCAGCCTAGTTGAATAAAACGTGTGCAAAAACATAAACGAAAAGGAAAGGAAAGGAAAAGAAAAGAAAATTGGAAAGCAGAAAAAGGAAAAAGGAAAAAGGAAAAAGGAAAGGATAAGCCAAAATAGTCAATTGCTAAAAATGCCATGCAACATGCAGGGGCAAATTAGGCTGAAAAAGTCCAAGCTTCTTTGTTAGTTAATGTTGTACGTACTCCTTTATTTTGGACGCTCCCTCACCTAACAGCCGCCCCATGTGTCCTATCCGCAGAACAATTAGTGGTCTTAATTTATAGTTCTTCCGTCAAAAAAAATAATTCAATTTCTATTTTCGTACAGGCCTATAAAAAGAAAAAGGAAGAAGAAGTTATTATAATTAAAAGATAATTTTATTCATATAATTTTTTTATTATATTTATTTAAAATAATATATAAGTAATTATTATATTAAAAGAATAAATAAGAATTAATGATAGTTATTTAATAAGGGTAAATAAATAATTTAAGATTAATTATAATAAAAAAAATGAAAGTAAATTACATTTTGGGGAAAAAAAAAAAGATAAACTATATTTTTAGGATGAAGGGATTATTAAGGATTGTTTCGCTCTTAAAGCAGTTTGATTTAGCAATTGCTATCAACTAGTGGCTGATGGTTTATAGAAGTTAGTTGATTACTGGTAAAATTTTAATAGAGATTGCTGTACAAAAAATCATCAGTAGCATAATTATTTTTATATGTTATATATTGTTTTATGTATGTTATCCGTTATTTTTTGCTGAACTTTTCACTTTGGCAATTTTATACGGGAACGGTATTTATTAATTATGATTGTGAGGAATAATAATTTAGATAGTGTTAGTCATCTGTAATTAAATGTTTCTAAATAAATTTATTTTATTTTAATATATACTACTTGTCAATTTTATTTTTTAAGTCCACACATAAAGTGTTTTGATAATAAACTAAATAATAACTTTTTTCAAATTAGCGAATTGTGGAGCCGCTTTTTTGAATGTGTAAAATGTATGGATGAATGAACGTCTGCATAAACTCTTTTTATGTGCATATATATAATTGGTGACACCCTATAACTACAAATTTTATTTTTCTATGTTCCTTTAAATTGTTTTTATTATGTATATTATCTGACCTATATTTTCTCTTTTAAAGAAACTTAAAAAAGATGTTCCTTACAACGTTTTAAATTTTGTATGTTACAAAGCAGGAAAATCAACAGAAGAGTGAGCTGGAGAAAGATATAATCTAGAGAAATAATATGAGGGCTATTAGATGAATAAGTTTATTTAAAAATTTTGATAAGAAAATTTCCGGATTAACATGCATCTAATTATTAGAACGATGTTAATATATTTAACATTTGATATTAGGCAAAAACAAAAATTGTACGAGCATTAAATTATCAGACACAAATAACGATAAATTGAAGCTATTGAATTTTGATATTTGCAATTGAACAAAAGAGTATTAGAGAATTTTATTTATTTATATTTCGCACACTCTATCCCCAAAGGAGTATTGGATTTTATTTCTTTACATATAAAGAAAAATATATATGATCTTTAATAGGGGTCCCACAAAAAATTTCTAGAAGCACAAGATGCACATGAAGGGTTCTACAAAAGACAGAAGACTGCTCCTTTCTTTCAATTCACAATTCAGCCTAGTTGAATAAAACGTGTGCACAAAACAATAACCGGAAAAGGAAAGGAGGGAAAAGAAACAGAAATTGGAGTGAAAAGCCAGACATAAAAGGAAAAACGGGAAAAAAGGAAAAAGGGAAAAAAGGGATCAAGAGGCAAAATAAGTCCATGATCTGCGTAAAATGGCGAGTGCAACAATGACACGGGGCAAGATTGGCTGCAAAAAAGTCCAAGCTTCTTTGTTAAGTTATATGTTGGTACGTACTTCACTTTTTAATTTGAGCGACGTCTTCCCCATCACCTAATCGAAGCCCGCCCCATTGTGTGGTCCTACTCAGCGCAGAACAATTAGTGAGGTCGTTAATTGTATAAGTTCTTACCGTCAAAAAACAATAATTCAATTATGTTCTATTTTTCGTACAGGCCTATAGAAGAAGAGAGAAGGCAAGAAGAAAGGTTATTAGAATTAAAAAAAGATAATTTTGATTCATTATAATTTGTTTTAATTATAATTTATTTTAAAAATAAATATTTTATAGAGTGAGATTATTATATTAAAAGGAATAAAATATGAGAAATATAATGAATAGCGTTATTGTAATAATGTTGAGTAAATAAGATAGTGTATGTAGGTCAGTGATTAATTATAATAAAAAAAACATGAAAAGTATAAGCACTATTAACATATGATTTGGAGCGTGAGGAAAGATGGTAACACAAGAGAAATGAAGAGCACTATATTATATTTTAGGAATGAAGTGCGATTTATACTTAAGGATTGTATTCTCGCTCTCTTAAAGCAGTTTTAGATCTTAGCACTGAATTGCATGATAATACTAGTCGGGCTGATGGTCGTTACAATAGAAATTTCTAGCTTAGATTACTGGTAAAAGACCGTACTTTTAATAGAGTAGATTGCTAGCTAGCAAGAAGACAAAATCAATGACAGTAGCATCATATTTATGTAGTTTATATTGGTTATAAGTATAATTGTGTTCTTATGTATATATATCAGTGTATAAGTATGCGATATCATTATCCGGAGGTGATGTAGGCGATTCGTGACCGACTTAGTAATAGTGCTATGTGTTAATTTAAGATGGATCTATTATTTTTATTATTTGTACCATCGGTAGTTATAGTAAAAAAAGAATTACCGAGCCAGGATTATTAATAATTTAAAATGATAAATAAATAGTTAAGAAAAAATTAATTTTTAAAATAAAGTATATAACAGATAGATAGTTAATATTAAAAAGAACTAATTATTTAATTAGGCAAGAGTTATTTTTCCAGAGAAGATTAATGAATTTTAAAATAATAGCATCTATAAAAATACGAATACAGGTGGTACTCAGTTTCCAGAGCAAAACCAAAAGAAAACTTCAAAGATATTTAAGCATGATACGGACCGACTACGATAGCCTAGCTAGATTTTGAACTAGAGTAGCTAAACTTTTTGAGCTACGAGCTGCTCGTTGAAGTTAAAAACATTCATTAAACCACACCATAAAACGGCACTTATCGAATCCAGACTAAACGCAAGATTAGCCCAACGCACTCTTAGCTTCATCCTTAGTCAACAATTTTTACATCTTCTTGTTTTAAATTTGAATGAATGATCACATGTTGTGCAATCAAGATCTTGTGCAATAAGAGAATCGTGATTAGGGCCGACGCAGCTCTCTGAATTGTGAGTCTATGTTTATTAGTCTTTTCTAAGATAGGACCGAAATGTCATCCGATTAGCAATTTACTTTAAATTGTTTTTAATCTGTATATACTCTATGAATAAACCCTATCAAATCAAACTATAGGATATTGAATTAGGAAGATAAGTTTATGGATTACATACGTCCTGTGTATCAAACGAAAATCGACCGACATATATCTATATAACAATTAATTAGCGAGCAAGAGATCGGCGTACTTTATGATTCATTCCAATCACAGGACCTTACACACTAAATCCACATAACTATGCGTCTCTACCTCAACACAAGCTACTCACAGCGAGTAAGTCTGCACCAGAGATACCCTCCACCGAGAGATAAGACATACAGCACACCCATAATCCTACCACTAAAACTCTTAAACACTATATTACCACTATACAATAGATTGTAATACAACTAAAAGAAAAAAACTACGTTATAATTTAACCTTATGTCACACACATGAGAATTAGCGAACAATACGATCAGATATAACTCTTACTCAATACTTTTTTTATTTTAATGTATTATATAAAAAAAATATTAATTAAATTTTAAAATAATAATAGTTAAGAAAAAATTATTTTTAAATAACTATAAATAATATTAATTTAAAAAGAACTAATTTTATTAGCAGTTATTTTTAGAAGATAATGAATTTTTAAAATAATATAAATACGAATCAGTTACCAGTCGAGCAAAAAAAAACTTCAAAATTTAGCTGATCGAATCAATAGCTAGCTGATTGAACTATAGCTAAACTTTTATGAGCTACGAGCTGCTGTTGATTAAAAAACTTATTAAACACCTAAAACGCATGAATCAGCTAAACCAAATGCCCTCTTAGCTTCATCCTTTCAAAATTTTTTCTTTCTTTTTTAATTTTGAAAATGAACATGTTGTCAAAGACTTTGCAATCGAATCGGATTAGGGCAGATTGATTTGAGTTATTTTTTGTCTTTTCTAAGTAGGATGTCTCCGATTAGATTACTTTAAATTGTTTTAAATTTTAAATGAATTATCAATTGGTGAATTAGGAAAAAATAAGTTTAGTTCATGTCCTGTGTATAGAATCCCTTTAAATATTCGAGAGAAAGTATTTTGTTCCATTCATGGACTTACTCAGCACGGATCCGGATAAATCGAATCTCTAAACTTTAGATACATAATAGTTTGAACAAAAAAAAAAAAAACAGTTTAATTTAACTTTCACATGGATTAGAACAATATGATTAAATCATAATTTTACTTAATATTTTTCTAATAACCAGTATAATTTTTCTCCTAACTTGAAACATGAAAGATCAATATTTTAATTAGTTATTATCAATTTTAACATGTGGTTAATAGTAAAATTAACATATTTGTTGATAAAAATACATATTGATAGAATAAGAAATTATAAATATTATTCTCTTATGAAAAAAGACATGTCACTATAATATGTAAGAACAAAAATTAATGAATATATTTCATGGGATGAAGGGCATAATTTATATATTTAAAAATATAATTTTAATTTATTAGTTTAACTTAAATCAAGTGATTGACCGCAATCTTACTAATTGATGGTAAAAGACATATACAATCACTTCAAGATTGGAGCTAATTTAATCAGTATAAGGTTTAAAGGGAATTTATGTATTGAGTTTGATAAAGATTTAATGAATATAGTATTGAGCCACTTGCTATGGACAAACTTGATGAAAGTTCTGATGTGGTTAAAGTTGTTGGTTGTGCTGCGAGACGAAATTCAAACAACGAAGATCTTAGAGGTGGGGTAGAAAATGCTAATGTGAGTGATAATAACGCTGGGAACATGGGCAGTAGGGCAAATGATATTTTTATTCTCACTTCTCTCAGGCTCAATGGCGGTTAGCAGGTATCCAAAAACCTATACTCGTACTCTACTAGTATCCATTATAGGTAGTAATTTCACTATCTATACATGTCATAAACTCATTTATAACTATTCATATCCTATTAAAACGGATTGAAACGAGACAGATATCTTAAAATACACGCACCACTTCCATTGCCACCTAGGACCGATACAATCAGGCGCCACTACTGAAAAAAAAAAAAATTGTGTCATGCCCCTTCAACCTTTCTAGTTTTAGAAAACAAACACATTCATTGGCATAAAAATAATGAGCATTTCTTGCCCTTCACGCCTACCAAAGCATTATAGCAAATAAAGTGTAGCATTGACAATCACCAACATCCCTCTTTTTAGTTTTTAGATTAACCTCAAACCATTCTTGAAAAAAAAGAGAATACAGAAGAAATACACCAACTGAAAGATAAAGTGCGCTCGATCCGACTTCTAGTCCGTGGGCTTAGTTCCACTGTACACGCTTCACCAGTTGTGCGGTTAAAATAAAATTGACTGAGAAATTATAAAAGAGAGTTTCATCGCTTGAAAGATAAATAGAATTTTGATTGCTTCTATTGAAATAAAAGCTTGTAATTATAGGAAATGTAAATGAACTGTTCTTAGGAAAAATAAAGACAATACTTTGAAAATTAAATTGATTGACTTGTTGGAGAGTTTTATTTTATTGTTGAATTCGTTGTAGAATTTGATTGTCCTTTTATTGGGGTTCCCTTGCTCTTTTATAAGCTTCACAGGTGATTACCAAAAGGATCCATTGACACACGTTCACATTAGTTTCTTTGGTATCCCACCTTCCTGTACGTGCTCAACTGCAGATTACGTCTTCTTTATCTCCTCTTTTTAATTAATTAATTAATCAATCAATATTTTAATTAATTAATTAATTACATAAATCAATAATTAGACCCAATTAATTACGAATCTAATAACCCAAAATGAAAATATAAAGCCTGAATCTAGAAAATCACAAAATGGGTTCAACGCAAGGATAATAGCACTAGCTTTCAATCATGTGAAGGGTTTCTTTGGACATGAAAAATAATCTCCATACACCATAAATTCTCTTTTCACATTGATCCGAATGAGAAGAATACTACATCGCATAATAATAAAATAATTAAAAAACTTCTAATTAATGAAATAGGTGATGGAGATAGCACAAGTCAATTGATTTTGTATAAAATGAATTTCATAACTCATTCACCTATAAGCCGATTTAAAAAAAAAAAAAAAAGAATCCTTTAAACCTATATTGCTCTTCAAAGTAATAGATTAATTTTTACAATACCAAGTGGAAATTTTTTTTATATATTTTTAGTTTAATTCTGTTTTATTTGAGTAGGTTAAAGAATCAAATTGCTAATTTTGTTTTTAAATTTTATAATTCAAATTAAACTATTATTTTTTTTCAAAATTACAGTTTTATATCAATTTGATTCGATTCACACAGTTTGAACTAGGGGTGAGCAAAATTATCAACCAAACCGAATAGAAAATGAAACCGATTGATTTTGGTTCGATTCGGTCTATGCCCAAGAGGTTCGGTTGTCGGTTCGTTCAGTTTGAACCAAATTTATTGATCAGTTCAATTTGGTTACACAAATATTCGGCGATTGGACGTAGAACCGAACCGAAATGATGAAAACCGATAAAATAGACTGAACCAACTAGTTCAATTGGCTCGATTCATATACTAACTTCGATCCGATTCAATTTATATTTTGTGGCCGACTGTTTGGTTGGCCCTAGTCTCAACAATTTTTAGCTGTGTATGAATACCCCTGCAGAGATGATGAATTTCAAAAAATAAAGTAAAACGTGTCCTAGATGTGCCTACTTTCTCTCTCTCGTCCTTCTTCTAGTTCCCTTTTTTCTCTCATATTTAAAGGCCACAAAGGCACAAACACAGAACGAAAGCCAAGAACCAGAGAAAGCAGCGAAGGGAGACGAACCCAAAGCCAACCCTTCTTCACTTTACCTCGTGCATGATTCACGAGACAGACAGAAGAAACTAAAAAGGAAAATCACAAGAAAAACAAGAAATTGATATAAAAAAGAGCAGAGATATTAATGGAGAAGACAGAAAAGGTAAAGAAAAGTGGAGGAGGAAATGGACAGGTTCTAGATGGTTCAGGTATAATGGAGTTGGTTGAGAACGAGGAGGTGTTTAGCAATTACGTTGATCATAAGTTCCAAGAACTGGATAAGGATAGAGATGGAGAACTATCCGTAAAGGAACTTGAACCTGCTGTTGCTGATATCGGTGCTGCCCTTGGCTTGCCTGCTCAAGGTTCCTCTCCTGATTCTGATTTTATCTATTCTGAGGTTAGTTAATTACTAATTTCCATATTTAAATCCAAAACCTTCTTCAATTTCATTCCTTTATTTTTATGAATTTCCCTTCATTTTTTGGTGGGTTTTGACATTGCTAAATTTGTCCTTGTTATCCAAAATTTAAGCTTTAATCTCAAATTAATAAAATGAGATTATAAGAATATCTATTTCTGCAATATCTTTGATTTAAGGCTCTGTTTTTTAGAAATGTAAATTAGAGAAATGCTAATTAACCTTTTTTAATTAGTTGTAATCAAACAATTGTGCAAACTTCAATGAATTCAATATCGTCACGAACATATATATTATGTTAAATAATTTCTTTGACCCATTGGCAAAATATTTTGAATATTTCAGTGACAAAATGTTGTCCATGATGAGCTATTGAGTGATGTATGAGAGTCAGAAGAAAACAAATTAAGTGCCATTTTGATTCTATATGCTTTTGTTCATATTTTATTATTCTTTTTACGTCAATACGGGAAAAATTATTATTAACTTTTACAATTTAAAGGTCGAGAGATTAACACCTACTTCTTCTCTTAGAAAAAGAAAAAAAAAAGATGTATGAGAGTCAGAAGAAAACAAATTAAGTGCCATTTTGATTCTATATGCTTTTGTTCATATTTTATTATTCTTTTTACGTCAATACGGGAAAAATTATTATTAACTTTTACAATTTAAAGGTCGAGAGATTAACACCTACTTCTTCTCTTAGAAAAAGAAAAAAAAAAACAGAATTTGCCTTAAGTTTGCTTTCGCAAATATTTAGTAACTCTAGTGTTACCAACTACTAATTAATAATTACAAAGTGGAGTAAGCTTATACTTGACCTAATCTTGAACCTAATCTTGGTTGGCATATGTGGTTCCTTATTATTTAATCTAGACATGTGATCTCAGTTGACCTATTACACACTTGTCTGCTTTCTTTTATCACACTTGTCTTCTTGGGTCCGTTGAGCGGAAAAAAAAAAAAAAAGTAAAACATTTCCAATTCTAGCGAGCTCCGGAATCATCATTTCTTATTATTCAACTCTGGGTCGGTCTTATCTTATTGAACTCAAACTCTTCAGTTGGATTTTTCCTTTCTGGCTTGACTTTTCCCTTTCTTTGCCTTTCTTTTTATCATCACTTCTAGGAGAATCTATATAGTGATGAATGTTGTGGAAAATGGAAAGTGTGCATTTTTAAGTCTTTATATATATATATATATGTAAAAAAAAAAAAAAGTAAAACATTTCCAATTCTAGCGAGCTCCGGAATCATCATTTCTTATTATTCAACTCTGGGTCGGTCTTATCTTATTGAACTCAAACTCTTCAGTTGGATTTTTCCTTTCTGGCTTGACTTTTCCCTTTCTTTGCCTTTCTTTTTATCATCACTTCTAGGAGAATCTATATAGTGATGAATGTTGTGGAAAATGGAAAGTGTGCATTTTTAAGTCTTTATATATATATATATATGTGTGTGTGTGTGTGTGTGTGTGTGTGTGTATTTTGAGATAATGATTGCTACCCAGTAGATGTAATGGGGATATATATGACATGGAAGGCTTTCTGCTAGCCAATGAGCTTGAAGGAATTTTTGAATAACTAATATTATTAGTTAATAAAAAATTCTATCAATTTGTCCCCAAAACTATTTAAAATTTTAATGTATGTCTGTGTATTATATCATCAATTATGAGTTTTAGTGTCAATTTTGGCTCTCTTGTTTGTTGATTGCAATTGGAAAAGTATTTGGTCCTACATGGATATATTATTTGGATAAGTCTCATGCCATCTCTATTTTTCTGAGAAAAATAAATTAACCAAATCCTGACTTGAGTCATATATATTTATTTTCAACTTGGCTAATATTTGAATCAGGTATTCCTTTTTTCTTTTTTTTTTTTTTTTCTTTTGATTTTTAACAATTCAATTAATCTGTGGGTAGACTCATAAAAGGGGAAGCGTTCTTTTTTGAAGTGTTGAAAATGACTCTATACCTAAAGTTTGAATTCGAGATCTTTGATTTAAGGAGAAATGATCGTTGTCATCACATCTCACCCTTCGAGATGAATCAGGTCTTCCTTTTGTGTCACATCATATCCATGTAAAATTAACATGTATAGACATTAACTAATATTTTAAATTTGGGATAAAATGGCTAAAATTGAAAAAATGAAGTCATAGGAGTCGCTATTGAGAGGACTTTTCCTGAATATTTGGTACGGCCTGAAGACAAAATTTTATATTTTTTAAAGTGATTTTCTTAATAATCCCAAATTTAGCCTCTAAAATAGTGTGTAACCTTTATTAGACACTGAAAGACAAATTAAAGTGTTATCTTTCTAGGCATTTTTCTACATGTTTCTATTCCTTTCTAAGAACCAAAAGAGAAAGGAAAGGTTAGAAGTTAAGGTACCGTGTCTGAATTTAGTAGACTCTACCAACTTCGACATTTGTCGGTTTAAAATCAAGGATTTTTCTATAATGACGTGAGGTAATGTCACGTCACATAATTATAAAATAATATTTTTTTTTTTCCGTTTGGTTTTATTTGTTGTTATTATTTTGGATATTCTAAAATATTTGTAAGGTTTTAAAATTAATTTATACATGTAATAATTATATTTTCCATGATAACCGTTTATATCATTCATTAAATGAAAGATTTCTCTTAATATTTTCAATGAGTTACGGATAAAAAAACACAAAATAATTTTTACCGACTAAATTCTTAATATACGTGTTTTGTCAAACCATACAAACAAATTAGGATGAATCCATGCAAACAAATTGGGATGAAGGGAGTAGTTTTTTTTATTAACATTATGTAAATATTTTGTTTTTTTATAAAGTTGGAGAATTAAAAAATAAATAACTCTGGTTGCAAATATTTTGTAATGCTTCTTAGAAATTTGTAAAAAGTGGTTTTTTTTTTTTTTTAAAGTAGTTGAATTACAAAATAATAGCTTCCATTGTCAATATTTTGTAGTATTTCCTTAATAATTTGTAAAAAATAACTGCTTTTCGTAGAATGGCCAGATTACAAAATAATAGCCTTGGTTGTCAATATTTTGTAATACCTCCTAATAATTTGTAAAAAATGATTGATTTTTTTGGAGAATGCCTGGGTTACGAAATAATAGCTCCCATTGCCAACATTTTTTAATAGTTTTCAGATATTTTATAAAAGATGGAATTGAATTTTTAAATTCTTCCGTGTTCCTTTTCCTGTTCTGGCTTTTAGTCAACTGTAATTGCAAGCTTATGAACTTTTAGAGCCCATAAGAAGAACTCAACTACACTTGTGTATGAGAATTATTAAGTGGGATAAAAGCTTACCTTTTTAATTCATAAACTGTGGGCTTCATAAGTTTCACATAGTTGGAATTACTTCAGTACATCCTCTCTCATGTTCATGTGGGACTCATATTTCATATTTTTAGATGAATTTCGCATGAATTTATGTACTGAGTGCACTACTCTCGTACATGGGAGGAGCAGCCATGAAACTTGGAACTGAATTAGTCACACATCTCTATGTGTGAGTGAGTTAATATGCCATTATGGCTGTGTAGGTTCTTAATGAATTCACCCATGGCAAGCAAGAGAAAGTGACCAAGACTGAGTTTAAAGAGGTTTTATCAGATATTTTAATAGGCATGGCTGCTGGTTTAAAGAGAGACCCAATAGTGATTCTCCGAATGGATGGAGAAGACCTTTCTGTGTTCATCAATGGACCAGCTTATGAACCAGAAATGATATCCATATTTTCACAGTTAGAATTACCTGATGGAATATCTCTCCAAGATTTCATTGTTAAGGCTTTGGAAAAGCTTACAGTTGACCAAGGGATGCCTCCATCTTCAGATTCTTGGGTAATTATGATTCTTGAATAATATTTATTTGTTTTTTCGGTTAGCTAAAATTTTCTTGATTTCAGTTGATTTAATTTTCTTTTCCAGGTACTAAGCAACATTGTTGAACCAGCCTTGCAATCTTGCACTGGCCAAGATTATGATGATAAACTTATTTCTCAAGAAACATTCTTGATAGAATTCAAGAAAGTAGCAGAACGTGTAGCTCAGCGTCTTAAAGAACAGCCTGTTATTGTTGCCCATAGTGAAAACATATTTGATGGAAGTGGGATTAAGAGACTATTAAGCAACAAGTTTGAATTAGACAAGGTTTGCTTTTCTACAATCTATTTGGCATTGTTGATTGGACAAATGTTGAAATAAGTATTTTATTGAAAATGTCAGTTAAAAAAAAAAAAAATAACAGTTGCAATAATTTATACTGCTGAGCACTTAATATGGGCTTCTTATAATCATTCTTCAATGCAGACTCTGAACACAGCTATGGAAAATGTGCCGAAAGATCGCAATGGGAAGATTGCTAAAGAGTATTTAAGTGTGGCACTGGATTTAGTGGCTCCATCAGCTGGTCTACCTCCAATTGGTTCTGTTGATGAGGTACTGTAAATTAATGTTTCGAAGTAGTTCTCTAGTTCATACCATTTTCATTTAAGCTGTTGGTTGTCCTTGTCATGATCAAGGTTAGTGATGGGGCTGAAAGTGATATATTAAATATTACAGATAGACAAGGTTGTAGGTGAAGCATTAAAGATGATGAATGCTGATGATGGGAAACTGGTTAAAGAAGATGAGATCAAGAAGATATTGACCGAAATCCTTGGAATTGTAATGTTGCAATTAGAGGGCAATCCCATCTCTGTTTCTTCAAATTCTGTTGTGCATGAGCCTCTTGCCTCCTCCTCTACACTTCTGCAGCCTGCTTCCTAGTTATATATATATATATATATATATATACAGACACATAAGAAAAAAGGGGAATAATTATTTGTTAATTAGGATAATTAAGGTGAAAAGGTATATGCATGGTTGTGTTATCTGCAATTAATCCTTGTCAATGATAATCTTCTTCTACTTTTATGTTATTTCTTTTATGCTAATGTACTAATTTTATGGCTCATGCAATGGTAATTAATTAATCAAAACTTTCTTAATTTTTGTTGTTGCATTGAGAAATTTGAAATAAGATGTCGGATTTGGATGATATGTAGGCTTTTTTATTATTATTAATGAAAATTACTTGCCTAGGCTATGGATTGAACCAATAACAGTAAGGATTCTTTAAAAAGCTTTTGACTTTATTTTTTCAATGTATAATCAGAAATATCATCATTTTAAAAAGAAATTTTATTCTCATTGTTTTGGTCTATGAGTGGCGCTCTAGATCCGATGTGGGTAAAATTTTTCTTTTTTTATTAATTAGAATTTTTTCTAAATGGTTGGGTTTTGATGTTGGCTTATCCCGAAATATTTATAAAAATCAATTCACTCAATGGGTTAAATAATATTTTTAAATGCATTAGGTGTAGAAAGTTTTTTTTATCCTAAATAAAAAGTTAAAAAATAAGTAGTCCTAATAAATTAGAAGAAAATTCTATTTTGTAACTTCAACTTTAGTTCTTTGGTCAATTGAATTGGTAATGACGTTTATATATCATTCGTTGGGTAGGGTTGTGTTATATGTAAATATTTTTAGGGATAATTACTAATATATCTAGTATCTAAAATTTTTTATTTTAATTTATTAATGTTTTTTTTTTGAACCCATAAAATATTAGAGTCAAATATTTATTTGGGATAAACGGGTGAATATGGAGAGAGAGAGAGAGAGAGGCAAATTGGTTTTTCAGGTAAAATGGAATTTCCCTTAAACAAATCACGTGATTTGCACATGATCACTAAACAAGTCAGCATTTCTATGTTGTGTATTTTGATTGGTTGTGTGAGGCCACGTCATCCTAATTAAATTTCTAGTTTTAGATATCCAATTGGAAAATTCTATAGAATTCAGGCATTTAAAATGTAAACATTTTTTGTATCTTTATTTTTGTTGGAAACCTTTCCTCATTTCATAAGCTTGGGCCTTTGGAGAATTAATAAATTAATTATTCTCTCCTTACTTCAATCAAAACTATTTAATTTTTTTTAAAAATCTTTTATAAAAAATTTCTTGGAGGACTCATAAAAAATATCTATCTATCTGTACCATACATAAAAGTGGGAATGACGGGGAGAAAATAATAGTATTGATGATATTATTCTTGTAAATTTAAAATATCCTAAAATAACCTTACTTTTAACCAATTAAGAAATTTTAACCTAAAAATATATATAATATTTTTATAATTCGATTGAATGTTTTTTTTTAATTTTTTAATAGATAAATAAATATAGATAATTAAGCATTTCAAAAAATTTTAAATGTTTACTATTATTATCTTATTGTGTCTAATTATATTATATTTTATTATATTATTATATAAATTATTATTAATTTTTAATAATTTATAATTTAGCTTTAATATTATTATTTTCAATAATATATGTAAATATGAGACATTTAAAAATTTTTATATTTTTTTGATTTATTTTAAATAAATATATCTAGATAATTCAAGATTTTGATTTAAAAACTTTAATTACAAATTACACTCTAATTTGATTTGCCAAAAATAAGATAAAAAATTATTATTATTATTAAACATCTCGAATTTAATTATTTATATTGATATCTTACTTAATTTAAATCATATTGTTATTAAAGAATATAATTTTATTAATAATTTTTTTAAATGCATTCATGATTTTGATTGGCTAAAAGAATAAAAATTTATTATTCTTTATAAATACTTAATTTGATTTATTAGATTGGTTTCTTATTCTACTGTTAAAGTATATTTATTTACTATAAGAGATTATAGTAAAAGGTATTATTATAAAATGTATAATAGAAGCTATATGATAATTTTTATAAATCAACTTGATTTTTCCTTAAGAAAAATGAAAGTAACTATCGAATGATAAAAACTATATGAATCAGTATGCTCAATAATACATTTCATATTTAAATTATTATTTTAAAGAGATAAATAAATATATCATTTTTTCAATGAGATATTACAGTGTAAGACATATAACAAAAAAAAAAAAAACTATTTATTGTATAGATAAAGTGTAATATAATTTAACTACTCAATATTTAGTAGTAATGTAGAATAAGATAGAAGTATATGATCATTTTTTAATATAATCAAACTTGATTTTTCCTTAAAGAAAAATGAAAGTAACTATCGAATGATAAAAACTATATGAATCAGTATGCTCAAATATACATTCATATTTAAATTATTATTTTAAAGAGATAAATAAATATATCATTTTTTCAAATGAGATATTACAGTGTAAGACATATACAAAAAAAAAAAAAACTAATTTTGTATAGTAAAGTGTAATATAATTTAACTACTCATCTAATAAGAATTTATACTTTAACATTGTATAAATGAAAATTTAAACGAGTATAAGAATGATGCATAATAAAAGCATAGTCCAATGTTGCAATACAAACGTGATAACACTAGTACTAAAAAAAAAAAAAACTATTTATTGTATAGATAAAGTGTAATATAATTTAACTACTCAATCTAAATAAGAATTTATACTTTAACATTGTATAAATAAAAATTTAAACGAGTATAAAGAATGAGCATATAACAAGCATAGTCAATTTGCAATACACGTGATAAAAAACACTAGTACTATATATAAATGTGGGAATGAGAGGAAATAATGAGATTTCTGATATCACCCTTAATAAAATTGGTAATATCCTAAAATAGACTTAGTCACAGCCAATTCTAAAATTCCATTTATACCAACGAGTGTTTAGATGAGTGGTTCAACACTCTTTTCTCTTAAATGAGGTCGAGGGTTCGATCCTCATAAATGGAGGAAATATTCACTGGGAACATCGGCCAATGCGGTGCGAGGAAGATTTAGTTCTAACTTAGTAGCTCGAGATACTTGTGGTTAAAACAAAAAAAAAAGACATTACATTTTTATTATTTGATTGCATATAATTTCTAAAAATTATTTTTTAAATAAATATATATGATAATAAAAAAGAAAAAAGTATACTTTTCCTTTTCTGTATGGTTGTTAGAAAAATTGATGGTTTACTTGGCGAGAATATAATGTTTCTTTTATGTAATATTTTTGGTATTAATTAATTAACTTTTTATTTATTTATTTTAAATTTACAACTTAGAAAAATAGAGAAACAAAATTAGATCCAACATTACTTTGCAATTTTCATTTATTGATTTGGCTATAATCCCTTTTTTGTCTATCAACATTAAATTTCATAAAATTGCAACATTTTTAACTAAAAAATGGATTGATTTTTGAAATTTAAATTGATAATTTTTTCAATATAATTTGTTACTTGTTATATGTTGATTTGGGGTTGAGAGTAGAATGTTAGAAATTGAGTGATGACTATATTTTCTTTTTGGGCACTTATAAAAGGATGAATAATTTGCATTTATAAATTAGGAACTGAAGGATTATGTTTAATGATTGAGTTGAATTTTATTTTGAGACCACTATATTATAAAAAAAATAGAATTAAGTACATAAAAAGTAACATTACAAGTAACTTGTATGACATAGTCCAATACAAATTAAGCAATTGTGTTTATTTTAATCTAAACAAAATTTATGCTTTAATATTATATAGATAAAAGAATATAAATATATAATGAGCATAGTCAACGTGTAAAGCACGTCATAAAAAAGACTAGTTCATTCATAAAAGTCTGATTATCAAATAATCACAACACAATATAAATTGAATCCCACTAATGATAGAAATTGCTTGTTGGAAAGTAACAATTAATAAGTAGAATTGGACCAATGTTAGTTGGAATAGAGTGTACAATACTTTTTTCTTTTTCGTCAAAGGTTTTTGGTTCGAGATTTGGGTATGGAAAATATTATGGTCAGAATTGTCACCTATGTAAGCCCTATAGTACTCGGATCAGACATAAACCTTTAATTATGCATTTTATCCTTCATTTCCCAGACAGGGGAAGAGGGATCAACGAATTCTAATTATCTGATGTGAGAAGAGATGTAACTTTTATTTTCATTAATCTTGTATTACCCATTTTTCCAATATTTATAGTTGAATCCATGTAGAGGACACCTAAGCTAACTACTTATATAGCTAAGCAATTTAAGTAATCAACTCTAATACAAATCATCAATGACAAGGCAATTATTCACGTTTGAAATACATTCATATATCTCCAATTATAATGGAGTCCCAACACTAAACTCATAATATCCATTTACACATATCTCTTGAAGAATCATAAATCCTTACCTCTTAGACTAAATTCTTAAGCATTTGAATTGAAACTTCAAATTATACCTAAATTAGCTTCTTTCTTATTCTATACACTAAAAAAGTTAGCACAGTAAACAAAATTCTTCACTATATCAGAAACCCATTTATTAGAATTTCTCAATTTTCCTATTATCATAATTAATTAACCAACTTCCCCCTTTCAATTTAAATTGAAAATCACCGTTAAGAAGTAGAAAAAGCAATCACCTTGAAAAAACAAGAACTGCCGAACCAAGAATCTCTGCCAGAGATGCCCTCCAAACCTGAACAAGTTATAGCATTTTGTGGTTTTAGACTGAAAACTAAAAATGAAAGGGTAATAGAAAATGATTCTGACCCCTTTTGTATAGATACTTCTGAACCCAAAAAAAAAAAAAAAAAAAAAAGGATTGGCAACTTTAAAAAATAAATTTCCAATCTAATGATATACTTTGAAAAAGATTGCAAGAATAATAATGCAAGGTATTCAAACCGCCGTAGAAAATGAGCAGTTTCATACAAAATAAGTTTCACAAACGTAATGCTAGTTTAAGCATTGTAGGGACTTGACAGCCGCAAGTGACCTAACGAGTTCAAGGTGGTTAGTGGCTTCAAACTGAATAATAATTTTGACAAATTTTTTTTTTTAATTTGCTGGGCAATTTTCGTTTGTACTGATATCGAAAAAAAAAAAAAAAAAAAAAAGGATTGCAACTTAAAAAATAAATTTCCAATCTAATGATACTTTGAAAAGATTTGCAAGAATAATATGCAATGTATTCAAACCGCCGTAGAAATAGCAGTTTCATTGACAAATAAGTTCACAACTAATGCTAGTTTAAGGCATGTAGGGACCTTGAAGCCGCAAGTGGACCTAACGAGTTCAGGTGTTATGGCTTCAAACTGAATAATATTTTACAAATTTTTTTTTTTTTAATTTGCTGGGCAATTTCTTTGTACTGATATCGAAATGTTTTACACTATCATTGACCCGAATAATCCAGTTTCGCACTAGACAAGTCTATAAAGAAGACAAAACGTTATCTCCCAGTGTTTAAGGAGAATACATATTCAGAAATCAAATTCGAGATCTCTAATTAAGAAAAAAGGGATCCATGTCATTCCATTTTACCATCAAGTTAGTGCAATTTTTTTTAATATATTGTGTTGTGTTATAAAACCTGCAAGACTCAATACAATTTTTTTTTTTTAATATTGCCACAATGCCATAAATTAAGGCATTTGAAACTGTCAGTTTGATTAGCAGTTTCAGTGCAATATGGCACTGCAATGGCGTTGCTCCTTGCTACACTGAAATCCCCAGTTAGATTGGTGGTTTTACTTGTATTAAAAAATGACTTCTTCAGCGTACATGTTCTCGTAATTAGATTTGTAATTACATTTTAAAAGGGCATTATTTTGCTATTTAATTCCTTATTTGATATAAATGAATATAAAGTATAAAATTCATTTCTAAATAATAAAATTTGGTTTAGTATTATTAAGTTGGTAAATTTTTAGTTTTGAAAGCTTATTTGATATAAATAAATTTCATAAAATTTTATATAGTTTTGAAAGCTTATTTGATATAAATAAATTTAATAAAATTTTATATAAGTCATTTACATAAATCATTTGGATTTTTTTTTTTTTGGTAGAAAGGAATTTTATTTTTTTTAATTCAATGGAATTAATTATTTTAAATTTTAGAATTAATAGAATTTGCAAATAAACTCTAAATTTAAGAGAAGTACAAACTATTAAATCCAATTAATTTTAAAGTTAGTTCAAGAGGTGAGGCTTTTCACCACACTTATAATTTGATCACCAACCCCTTCTACAACCGATGTGGGATAACCCAACAATCTTCCCCTCACACATCGGGCCATGGGTCGGAGGAGCAACAACCCGTACTCTCCCGGAAACTGGGCTGAGATTGCTGTAACCTGGGCTCTGATATCAAAGATAGGTGATTTTGGGCCTTCTCAACCCCAAAAGCTAGCTCAAGAGGCGAGGCTTTCCCTCACACTTATAATTTGATCACCAGTCCCTTCCACAACCGATGTGGGATAACCCATCGGCTTCTTCATCACGCCTTTTAGTTGCTATGGCTAAGAAAAAATAAAACGATTTTTTCAGATAAAATTGGAGATGCTTTGTCGGTCCTTGATATTATTAAGTTGAGCAACTTTGAAATTATCAAATCTAAGAATAGAAAATTGTGTGCCAATTTCTTGGATTGGACTTCATTTCCCCGTTCTTGTTTGTGATAGTTTGAATGGTTCAAACGGGAATAAGCATCCTAATTCTGATCTGGTTGCCTGGTTGCACATTTGCCAAGGTCTTTTTGTTGTTGATCAAAAAAATTTTCAAGATAACATGTTTAGATAGTTGATCTAAACATAAAAATTCATTTATAAAGATAATGTTGAATATATAAATTTATCCAGTTTTTTTAATATGTGGTATATTCAATTTTTATTTTGATCCTTTAAATAATATAACTTATAAAATTAAATACAATAACTTACGAAATTATATCAACTAAACACATATTAAATAATTGAAAAAAGTGAAAATATTGTTCCAAAATTTATATTAATGACACATCAAATCAATATTTTATAAATAAAATTGAAAAACTCTAAAAGCTATTGTTTTTAATGCGAAAATATATGCAATATTTATCAAAATTGGTAATTTTAAGAACACAATAGGTCTCCCTTAAAATTGAGAATGCGCAAAATCAAATTAACAAAAAATTAGGAGTGAATTTATATAATTGGCCCAAATATTATAAATTCTAATAATTGATTCCAAAGATGAGGATTATTTATTACAATAATATCTACTTATCTCTGTTTCTACCAACAACATGTGAAAAATACAATAATGATGGATCCTCACAAGGTTCGGATAAGAAGGATAATTGCTGAAAATATAAATCAAATTTATACGTTAAGCCAATATAAAAATGTATCCTTGGAGATAATGATGATCTAATGATAAGGATGAGGACAACAATAAATACATAGATTCACATTTTGTATATTATATATATATAAAAAAAAAAAACGTATACTTCGATTCATTAAATATTTTAACTAATAAGTGGTATGTAAAAATGGCTTAGGTCATCAATTTAATTTTTTGTTGATTGTAAAAATGGCTTAGGTCATCAATTTAATTTTTTGTTGATTGTAAAAATGGACACGGGTCTAAATTCTTCGTGCAAGTATTAATAAAAACATTCTAAAAGGTTTTTAAAAAAATACTTTAACTAATAAACCGCATCTTTTGAACACTTTAATTTAAAATTTTTTCTATAAATTTATACCTTATAAAATTAGCTCAATCAAATATTTATTAGATAATTGAAAAATATAAAAATTATTATTTCAAAAGTTATACTAACTGTATATCAAACTAATATTTTGCATTAAAAATAAAAATATTAAAAAATTATTATTATTAACGTGAAGATGTGTATAATATAACAAATAATTCATAACTTTATGAATACGGTAGATCTCCACGAAGTTTAAACTACCACAATTTTTTTTAAGTAGAAATGTGAACTAATGTTTTTGTCCAACACCAAAACTTATTATCGAAAATATCATTATTTTCATTTCCATAACATTAATATCATCACCCTCATATAATTCTAAAGTTAGTTTTACAAACTCTACTCTACAAAATCATACTAACCTTTAATGAAAAAAACTCTTCAAAGCCCAATATCTTTCTCAAAGTAGTGTAATTTTGCTTCCTCCCTTGCTTGCTTTCCGATAAACCTGACCTGCAAAATTGTATAAATAAGTTCAAAAAAGCATATTCAATTCCATCTCCTTCTTGTTTTATACTTTACATTCTACTCACCAAAATAATAATAATAATAATAATAATAATAATAAGTTTTGGCACTTGCATTGGTGAAGAGGCAATTGGCTGAACTCTAGAACAACCTAAAGTGACAATTGAAACCTAAATGAATTTTAAATTGGGTATAATCCACCTTCATTCTTGTTTTCATTAAAACCAAAAAGCACCATTTCTTGATCAGCAAAAACATTAAGATTGAAACTACTGTACGAATTGAATTGTCATTTTAAGTACATAAACAATATCATAATTCTCATTGGTCATCGTCCTATAAATCTTACATTAATTATTATTTTATTTGGCATCCTCACAACTCCAAATAAATTTCATATCATTTATTTATTTTATTATAGTTGGGATAATATTTTTCTTCTTTAAAAAGAGAATCATTTTTAAGACAATGATTTTTTTTTTTTAAATCATTCCCTTTTGTAAAAAATTTATATTTTTCGTTTTGGTTCATAGGTAAGGCTGTAGATCGGATCTAGACAAGTCATGCTCTTAAAACAAATGATTTAATTTTTTTTTGTTAATAGAAATATATTTCTCATTAACTCCAATTCCTTTGGAAATTATAATTATAAATATTAACCAATGAAGAGTTAGTTAAAATTTATTAACTTCATTATACTATACCCAATAAATCCTTTCTTAATTCTCATCTACACTTTCCATTTCTTGTCTTGGTAAGGTAAAGGAAAAGGCATGGTAAAAAATACAAGCCAAAAATGGACCGACCCAGAAAACCCAATGCCCATCCCACAAAGAACCTCCATGCAACAAAGCTGGTCCTAAACATCTAGCAGGGTTCAACCCAACTCCACCATAACCAGCCCTTCCAGTTACACTAATTGACACAAAAACTGCAAGTCCCATTGAAGCTGCCAATATAACACACACCATAACTAACCCTAATTCCTTAAACCTTCTTGTATCAAATCCTACCGTTACACCCACAAATAATACCACAAAAGTGCAACAAAATTCCAACACCAGAGCAGTTGTTTGTGCTATCCCTTTCCCATTTCCATCGATTATGCAGCCACCTAAATAGTACTTTTCTGCTATTCTGTGGTCCATTACACTCTTTATTAACATATATGCCATTACAGAGCCTATACATTGTGCTAATATATAGAACAAGGCTCGGACAAGAGTTGTGAGTCCTTTTAGGGCTGCGATGAAGGTGAAGATCGGGCTCATGTGACCTCCTGATAAGGGGATTGTTGTTAAGAGGAGGAAGAAGGCAATTATGAAAATGGTAAATGGGATTAGAAGTTTGGGGTCTGCCTCGTGTGAGTCCAAGCATGAAATTATGGAAATTGTTAATGTGAAGAGAAGACAAGCTGTTGCTACTAGCTCAGTTAGTGCTGCCCTCCACATCTGGAAATAATTAACATAATATAATATAAGTACATAAACACCAGAATTTTGGTTTTTTTTTTTTATTTAAATGATTTCAATTCCAGTTTCTTAAAAACAAGAACTGAACTATATGAGTCGGGCAGCCATTTATGTATGTATAAACAAGCAATAATTGGAAGAAGTTTGAAGCTCATATATCATTACCTCTTGTGAAAACAATTCATGGGCACCAATGCGAAAAAGAAACCCTGTCTTTGTGGTTCTTATAGTCTCTTTGAAGCTATTCATTGCTTCGAAATTTACATGTGATATGGAGAATTGTTGATTATTATCTTCTTGGGCGCTGGCCAATTCCATGGCCTTTAACAAATTCTATTATTGCAAGAAAATTGAAGAAATAAAGAGCACACAATCAAGATATAAAATCTGAACAGAAGATTAGGATTATAAACATTTGAGGATTGCTTCCAAGAAGAAAAGTCCATAGGTTTGGGAAATTAGTAGTAAAGAAATTTAGTGTCAATTGTAGAAATTAATGCAATGTGAAGTATATTCATATGCTAAAAGCACATATTCTCTCTAGTTATTGACTAAACAAAATTATCTTACAGCTAATAAGATTGAAGGCACTCTAGACAAAATTTAAATTTACACAAAATCATAAATAAGTCAAGACCCATCTGGAGCTACTGCTTGTCCACATTTGTAGTATTTATTAGGTGGTCATTATCTTCTCTCCAAAAAATTAACTTGTAGCATTCACTGTATGGACGCCTGGACCTAACCCTATCCAAAATTAACTGTCAGGCTTTTAATTCTCAGGCACTGTTAAACAACAACTTTTTCATACAATATTTAGTCAAAACATTATTTCTATTATCAACAGTGGTCGGTGGCATAGATTTTATACTGAGTATTTAAAACTTGAGAGAGCAAATTATGAAAGATTACTCCTTTAAACGTTAACAACTCACCGCAACTAAAACAGTTAGCAGCTTCTAAAATAACTAATTTTGCTAAAAAAGCATGTGAAATTAACTATTCCATCTACCAAATTAAAGTGAGCAATAAAGTACAAGGTTAGATGGTAATATATAAAATAGGAAAGGGCTATCTTTACATGTTTGATTCATTTTAAATTCTTCCGTAAAATTTAATTAAAAAAAGGAAAACAGATGTGAAATCCTAAACAGAAGAGAACATGCAAGTTTATGAATCCTAAGATATAATAATCATTGTCTCACGTAATTTCCTTGGAAAGTTTTGATTGGAAGTATATAAATATGCCGAAAAATATTTACACCTCTACGTAGATGAAAAAAAAAAAATCTCTTTTGTTTGTATTTTAATTTATATTGTCCTTTTTTTTTCTTGTTTTCGTGTGAAATCTCCTTCTAACCGCAGTGTCTAAAGATTTTTTATCTTTCCAAAAAGCATAGATAGAACTTATAGTCTCAGTCTTATGGAGATTAAGATCATTTATCATTTCAACCAACACCTTATTAATTATTAAGTTTACTTTTAAAATCAAAGATCAAATCTCTAGAAATTAAACCCCCCATTCTCATCATATGACCAACTACATATGCTACAATATTGCAGAAGAAAATTTTCCAATATTATGACATTATAAAATTTTCACTATGAACACAATTAAGGATATAAATTAGTACATTTGATGGAAATTCCAACAATTTTAAGACCATAAACAAAGCCTAATTGAACATTATTTTTTTTACAACCTCATGCATAAGGATACTATGCTACTTCCTGACGCCATTTTTATACGTCAGGCATTGGCAACTGGAATTATCTTGACGTAAACCCCAAATGCTATACAAGAAATAATAGGCCCAACCCAAAATACCCAATGCCCACTCCATAGATGACCACCTCTAATAAGTGCTGGGCCTAGACACCTTGCTGGGTTCATCCCAACCCCAGCATACCCTTTCTGAGCTGTCACTGTCGTCGATATGAACACGAGAAGGCCCACTACCAGCCCAATTATACAACAAACAATAACCCGGCCCAAGGGGGTGGATTGGCGTTTGTCAAATGCCAACCAGATCGAAGAAAATAAGAAAAAAAACGTACAAATTATTTCCAACCAAAGAGCTCGGTCTGTCTCGAGCCCAATCAAAATGGGCCCATGTGGGCCTGGTGCAACAATACTGAGTGTGCAACCTCCAAGTGAAAATGTTTCCTCCACAGTGCTGTTTAGTACAGCTTTTAGTGCTAACGCACCTAAAATGGCTCCTAGACATTGGGCCAAGATGTATACTGCGGCCCGTGAAAGAGAAACCCGGCCCGTAAACAATGCTGCGAAGGTGATAACTGGATTGATATGGCCATGGGAGATGGGGGACGTGGCAATGAGGAGGATTGTGACAGTAATGGCAATTAGGGCTGACATAATGAGGTTTGGTGTTTTTGTTTCAGTTTCATAGGTGGAAATTACTATAGTGTCCATTGCAAAGACAAGAGCTGCGGTGCCAAGAAGCTCAGCCAAAGATGCTCTCCATACCTGATAGCAAAATCTTGCCATTAGCAACAATAATAAGCAATGTAATTAAATGGAATAAAATCTTTAGGGTTAGATCCTATCTTATTGGAGTGTGACAAAATGGTGGTAGTGAGAAAGAAATGTCCTCTTCAATTGGTCTTCTTCTATTGTTTTCTTCTATTTAACAACTGATATCGTGAAGTTAATTATTGTGCAGATTGGTTAGTTGAAAGTATTCTTATAGGTATTCATATTCTTGTGGATGTCTTCCAGGTTTAAATGATTGGAATTTTCATAATAATTGTAGGACAGCGTATTGTACATTTTGTATTTAACGGTTTTCTCTCCCTTTTATAATAAAAATAAAATATGATGTAATTAAATACACTTCTTTAAATAAAAATTACATTTCATTACAGTTGTAAGTTGTAACTTTGATAATTGGGATTTGAGCCAAATCATGAGTTAATAAATTAGAGAATACTAACATTTGAAGAAGAAAGCTCTTCCAAACCCAAAACCTTGTTCATATTAGTAGGGCTTTGCTTCTTCCCTCCCTCAGTTTTGTCCAGATTCGGCCTGCAAAAACAACAAGATTTATCCTCAGTTGATAACAAACAAACCCAAAAAAAAAAAAAGCAGCAGAGAAATATGGAAATTTGAAACTTGCATTGGTGTAGAGGCCAAGGGTTGGATTTTGGTTCCTCCATGCTCATTTTCTTCATCCTCAACAAATCTTAAGTTTTCTGCCATATCTTCTCTTCTCTTCTCCAATATTGGTTTCCTTGGTAAGTCTCTATATTTGCAGACACACGTATGGTTTTATACACATATCAAAATTATTATTGGCGGATAGACAGTTGGGAAATAATATCAACTCACCATAGACCATACATCACTTCAATCCTTCAACTCAGTGTTATTAAATTCGGTTTGTACATTGACCCATTTAAACAACCTAAGTGGATGAATTATTGGTTTAATCCGTGGGTGAATGGTTCCATAAGTGAATCACAAAACATTAACAAACTATATATTAATTAAATATTTGTAATTTAAAATAATTATAATAATGACACAAAATAATTAAAAATATTTAAAAAATAGTTCGTCAATCGGACATGTACAAATTGACCAATTCAACTACATATCAATCAGTTCAATTCAATTTTTTTATTTAAATGATTTAATTTAATAAAACCGATCATCCACTAAATCGGTGGGATTTAATAACTATGTCTTCAACTGCATAGATTTTCTTTCAACAGCATTATCGGCTACTAAAAACTTCAAATAATCTTGCATTTATTATATAGCTTTTCAACAGTCAACTTGCAGCCTCTTTATACAAAATTTAAAAAAAAAAAATGATTAGTTTGCTTAAATTGTATAAAATTTTCATTTTAACTTACTTTAATACTATCTTTTTACCTTTCCAAATTCCATCATTTCCTTTGATGTTAATGAGATTCAATAATAAGAATAAGGTAAAAATACAATAATTTTTTTCTTGAATTTTAAAGAAGGAAACCTAAAGTAGAATAAATTAAGAAGAACCTTAAATATAGACTGTTTTAATAATGAAATATATATTATATAACTGTTTACATTTAGTAAACTTTTGATAGCGGTTACTGTTAAAATATAAAATGGTTATTAAGGGCATAATTTTTTTTTTTTTTTTTTTTTTAGTAAAACTTTGATCAGCGGTTACTGTTAAAATATAAAATGGTTATGGTAAGGGCATAATTTTTTTTTTTTTTTTTTTTTTTTTTTTTTTTTTTTTTTTTTTTAGTATTTGAAAGGAAGATTCAAACCTGGATCAATTACATGCACTAATTACTAGGTTGTGTCTTGGTGTGCAATTATTAAGGGCATAAATAATTTTAAAACATAACTGATAGAATCAACAGCTGATTAAAAAGATTATTAAATAATTACAATTTAACTATTGAGAATCTACAACCTAACTAACTATCGAGTAAAAATCAACTATCAACTGCATAAATTAGTTGAACCCAATACCCTCTATATTATCATTAATTAAATTTTAAAATCAAAATATCAATTTTTTTAATAATAAAGGAAGGGACAAAATCCCAAAGAACAAATCAAAGGAAAATCAAACTATCCTGAGACCAATCTGGGCCAAGAAGCAGCATGTCGATCCCATCTCAGCTGATTAACTTTTAATTTTGTAAGCAAATATTAGTTAATTAAATGTTTGATTAATTTTGAAAATAGTTTGATATAGATCATTAAATTTAATAAATATTATTAACTAAAATTTTTTAATTTGTATGCAAGTCAAAGCATAATAAAAGTTTTGGGACGTGGGAGCATAAAATATAATCATATAAATTGACCAATAGGAAGGGAGTGGGACCCATTCGTCGCATTTGTAGGTATGCATTTGAATGAGCACATTAAAGCTTTGTTGTTTGCTTTCTTGTCGATTGCTAAATGCTGCAAGCATCGTATGCCAACTTTACTTTAATTCAAATTTATATCACTATTATTGGTACAGCATTTGCACCTCCAACCAGACATATACAGAGCAACTATCCAAATCAGCTATTAAATTCACTTTAAGTGTCATTTTTTTTAAATTCAAGAAAGAATTTATTATATTTTTACTTTTCTATCCTTATTCTTTGAATCCTATTATGATTATACTACGTCCGGTGTTGCACGAATTAAGAAAATAATTAATTCATATATATCAGAATCAAGACGTAATTAGACCAAGTCATTTATCTCAAAACCAAGATAAATAAGGGTATGGAAAACATCATTTTATTACTAGAAAAATATTTTTTTCATCCTTGAGGTTTTATAAAATTATTCAACTCGTTCCCGTATTTTTGTATATTAATTATTTAGTCTCTGAGATTTAGTTTTATCTCATTAGATAGTTATTCCATCTAAAATCAGGCTCTTTCTCTGGTAGATGAGGGTAAAAAATAAACAAGAGGAGAGAGAAATATTTTAAAATGACAAATGCCACCTCTAATGAGATTATAGAAAAGAGATATTTAAGATGAAAAGACAAAATTATCATTTCTTTTTATTTGATATTTGTCTCTATCTCAATAAGCTGAAAACCTTGGAGTCGATGAAGAAGCAATCACAAGTGATTCTAAGAATTAGGTTTTGAAGAAAGGAGAAAAAGAAAGAAAAGATGAAGAAGCAAAGGCACATAATCAGCAAAGTTGTAATCCAGAGCGATCATCATCATAGTGACAGGCATCATTCTCGGCATCAAGGGGAAGCTAGACCTAGGTAAGCAGGAGATAGCTGGGCCCATTCTCGAAGGTGTGAATATTGAGAATCAACTCGACTATAAGGAAAATCACTGATTTTAGTGTTAAGAATTAATCTCAAATAATTCTACAATAATAACCTAGATCGTGCAAACCACTAGATTCAACAAAATAGATTGAATAAGAAAAGGTTGCATACCTGACATCGTTGTTCGTCGATCTTGATGCAAAAATAGATTGAATAAGAAAACGGTTTGCATACCTGAACATCGTTGTTCGTCGATCTTGAATGTTAGAATTAGGTTTGCAGCCTTCCCAGAGAATTGAAGAATCGTTTTAGCGGGAAGGCAAATACGATAAGGAACGTAAACTGAATCGTAATTCAACTCCTCGGGGACCACGACCTTTATATACCTGTAAGGGTTAGTACCAAATTCCTATTTCGGTCCTTTCAAAACGGAAATTAGGAATTATATAAATGGTCTGCTACACTTAATATCTATAATTTAGTTGATAACCCTCAATAGTCAATTATTCAAATCAAGACCTCACATTTGAAATTGACTTTACAAATTTGGATAACTTTTTGCCTTGTACATATTTAATTTTATGCATATTAAAGTCCCACAATAGAAAATTAAAATCCACAATCTCCACTTGGGGCGAATCATTGTTTAAATAAATACATACACCCAAAATGAGCTCAACAAACGCAGTCATTACAAGGGTATCCAAAAAACAATCTCGTCCATTAGTTATATATGATAAAGATGAAGAAAAACATTCCGCCATCATATTCTCATGACTAGTTTCATCATCATTACATTTGACCAAATATCCCCTAAAATGACATAGATCATTATAGAAAGTTATGCATGAAAACTACATGGCAATGTGATCAAATCAATGTCTGTTTCCAACTGTTCCCACCACAAAAGTGAGATCAATACAGAAACAATTATATAATAATACAGAGTGTACCATCAAAACCAAAAATGAGTCTCAACAAAATTTCATAATAAAAACATATTCCCAAAACAAATAGAGCAATTCCAAAAACATAATGTAAATACATAAAGAGCAATCTCCCACTTAAAAACTAGACAGTCCTCAAATCAAATACGATACCGTATGAGCGGTGGTGCTCATGGAAATACTTTTCGGTATCACTTTGGCCTTTGGTAAGCGGTATCCGTCAATCATAAAAGAGTTTGTTCCCATATGCCTAAGGATACTTCTCCTGTCCACTTCGTATCCCTCTCCTTTCACAGCCCAGAACTTAAATCTCAATGTGTTTGATCGAGAAGAAGCTCCGGTGTTGTTGTTCGGAGAATAAATACGGCTGACCATGCTGTCACAATTACAACTTCAAGATTGGTCTTTCTATTGCCACCTACTAAAACGCAGCCGCAGTGACAAGGTTTCTCACCAAATAGCTTGATTGGATGCCCTACGCATTAGTGGATATAATGGCTGTACTCAAGGAGATCCTTTCGAGGCTTAATCCCATGGTGGCGATGAGGTTTTGCTAACTGATCAGAGTTTTTCGTTTCGCAGCGCTCATTCGGCGGGTGGCCGTATATGAGAATAGTAGGCACGGCGCACGGCGGGTCGCGAGCCAAGGTAAAGAAATTTGTAGCCCAAGATGTGGATTCTCTAACTGTCTTGGCATCTCCAAGCTGAATCAGAATCGCAGTATACCCAATGATCTCAAAGCTGATCTGATCTCCTATATGTGAGCATAATTGTCCCTTAGTCCTCTGAAGATGATCCCTCATCTATTTTTGGCTGCTTCCAATGATGGACGCCGGCATTTCCTGGATTGCTGAGATATCCTACCTAACATGCCAACTATATAAAAGAAATGTCTGGAACGAAGTAACAAACTTGAACATAAACTAGTAAGACTTCCTACAGCTGACGGCATAAGGAACGCTTTTGGCATTTCCTGAATTTCAAGTTTTCCAACTCTTTGTGGAGCACCTGTTGATTATCTAAATTTTATCGACTTTTGCAATAGGGTGTATCCATGTCTGAATTCTGCATACTAAATCTCTTGAGCAACTTTTCATTATAGCTCTTTTTGTGATAATCCAAGAATACTCAAGAACGGTCTCGATGTATATTGAATCCCTAAAACAAAAGAAGCTTCACCCTAAATCTTTCAATCTCAAAATGCTTTGAAGAAAAAACTTTTTGGTTTCAATGCCAGCAAGACTTCAATTAGTAGCAGAGTATGTCATCCCACATATAAGACCAAAAAAGATTAAACCTACTCCCACTGAACTTAGGTACACACAATTTCAACAGGCATTTGCATTTGCCTCAAAGCCAAACGAGACAATTACTTAGTTGAACTTAAAGTACCATTGACGAGAAGCTCGCTTGAGTCCATAAATGGATTTCTTTAATTTGCATACCAGATGTTTTGGATCTCCAATTACAAAATTTTCTGGTTGCACCATATATATTGTTTCATCAATGTTGCCATTGAGAAACGTAGTCTTAACATCTATTTGATGAAGCTCAAGATCAAGATTTGCAACTAAGTCCATGATTGTCCTAAAAGAATCCTTCGAAGAAACTGGAGAGAAGGTTTCTTTATAGTCAGTCCCTTCCTTTTGAGTAAAGCCTTTTGCTACAAGACGTGCG